CGCGTTTCGTCGTATATGACTATTCAAGAAGGAACCGATAATCTACAAAGAATTTATGAATGTGGTACCTTTTTCGGGAATGAATAAAGCAAATGTCGTTGTCATTATTAACTGCTAACTTAAATACATCAAAGAACTCTATTTGAAGTACCAAATGATACAAAAAAACAAGTTTAAAAAAAGCAGGTTAAGTATAACAGTGAAAGAAGGCGGATCTAAACATTCAAACGGATATTTTGTTGCAAAAGTTTTTGTATGAGAAAAAGGCTTACTCTAACATAGTTATATTATTCTGATGTCGAATAACATTTAACTAACTAAAAGATACGCAAGTAAACTTAAAACCTACAATTTATGTGACCAACTTACATCCAAACACTTGGGGATTGCAAGATTAGAACATTTTATACATCGCTGTGTACATACTTAAAACTATAGCAGTGTGCTGAACATATATTCGTTATTTTGTTTATATTTATATCCTTAACATTCTTGCGGTGTAAAAAAATATTACCATTACTTTCAGTCTCCAATCATATGAAAATAGAATATCAGTATTATGAGAATTGAAATCATTTTGTAAAGTACCAAGATCTAGTAGAGACAAATATACTCGACAACAATTCACTTTTCACGAGATATTACTATTCATAATCCTCCCTAATGATTATTACTAAGAATTGATCTACAAACTTGAAATTAAATGCGAATTATTTTCATCGAACAAAAAATTGACTAACTAAAAAAACCCATTTAACTTTTTGTTCGATTTAAAATGTTCAACAGGTAATTGATAAAACCAACACATTTATCATATGAACTTTATAAGCCAGAAAACCAGATTCTGGATTGGGAATAAAGGGACTTTTCGATTTACAATGGTATGCACTGGATTCAGCTGTAGGCTATGAAGTTACTCTTGACTAGTTTTATAGAACATTTTGAACTACTAAATAGTAGTATGGTGTTTTAAAAATTATTTCATTGTGTGAGCTCTTCCTGGCAGTTTTCGCTTATACAATAACTAGATAATACTGATGGACGATATTTTTAAATACCCCAATTAACCGGACCCTTTTGGAATGTAGGTTAACTGTTCTGAATCGTCGACATAACTAACAGTCTTTCTTAAAGTGTATTTAGTTATTGATGGCAGTGGGATGTAAAGTCTGTATAGTGCATGTGATTGAGTTTGTACATAATTCACATTGACTTGAACACAAGACCCGTCGCTTCAAGCACAGGATTAATAAGTTATGGCACTCGTCACTCACGACAAGCAATCGATATCTATAATAGACCTGGTGATCAGAATCTCTTAATATACTTCTACATAGGCTAACCACGTAACGTGACTAATTACGAGCATAGGCCGGTAGGATTAACTTTGAGTAGAATCGTGATAATCATAATTACCATTGGTTCCGCTGACTCGAACACCCAACCTCAATTCTTGAATCTGGATAAGAGAATATAGTAGGCAAGCTTCTAGTTCTACATTTCAGATGCCCAGCATATTTACCTTAAATACTCATTAGCTGATACACTTAAATTATTAGACAGCAAGGGACAAGAAACAAGAAGCCGTTCGTTACATATGATCATGCCATAAGCGTCAGATAACGGAGAGAAGTGCATAAGTAGTCAACAATAATTAGGGAATAACAAAACGTATAGCAGTTGTCAAGAGTTCTGACAAAAAATTACAGTACGGGGAGTAGAGAAAAACAATAATCTGATTATTTAATAATTACACGATAAAATCGTCAACAACAGTAGTCCGCAAAATAGTTCTGGAAGTTACAACAACTCCAGTATTCACTTCACCAAAACGACACTCATCATTTCCTAAACAGACGATAGCAAGGGATCCGTATAAGACACAGTATCATTAATTTATATGGTACGTTTAAAAAATAGACAACTTTAGTAAGTTTATAGAAGCGACGTTTTCATTGGTGTTACTAACTAATGCTTAGTTATTCGGTGAGACTAAAGAAAAATATATCCCAGTCGTTGATTTGCTTCGATTTGTGTTATCTTAGGGTTATTATCAGTCTCTTAATGTAGATGAACCGGTATCTCTTCTGTGATGAGTCGTTCACATTGTTTCAATGAGCAGCTGACCGTCACATCTCTAATACAATATAGTTGTCGGTTTTCAACGAAATACGTCCACTTGTTTAACAAAATAGAAACTAACACAATTTAAGCATTGATGACTTCAAGATCTTTACTAGCACAACTGCTGTAGTTGTGGCAATATGTAGATGGTGAAAGGTTATGAATTAAAATAGGGATTTATTTCATTTCAGAGATCTTTTTGCTTTCACTCGATCAGTAAATGATAGTGTTTCGTATCAGGATTCAGCCTAAAAATAATACCTACTTTATTCGTCACACATTTTATTAAGTACATGCTGATGTACTTGTAGGATATTTGCAAAACAAACTTTTGATAGACTATTTTGATTTTTACAAATTGAATTAACAAGTTTTAGAATGCTAAATATTACTAAGCTAAAATGACTATATTTATATATACTTGACAATAACCAGATGTTGTATTTTGTTGCGTCATTGTATAAGTTTAAGTTAATAGTTCGTTCATTTTTTCTCTGTGCTTTATACGTTCAGGCTCTTCAAAATGATCCAAGTTAGGCAAATCTGGAATTCTTTCGGGCATTGGAGCTAATCCAGGTTTATATCTAGGCCGATTCGTTTTGTGAAGACGAACAACATTAAAGTAATCCGTTTTCGGGCGTTCTTGATTGAGGTGAGTTTTTATACATTCATCAAAAGGATACTGAGCTACGCGGCATCTAATTAATGTAAAACAAAAGCATTAACATAGGATAAGTTTCTAAGATTTTGTTAATTAAACTACATGGAAAATAGAATGCAAAAAGGAGTTGCATATTAGTGAATTCCTTATAAGTATACACCTTTTTCATGATGGTGACAATGAAAATATCTTATGAGTTTAACAATATTCCAACTAACATCTTATTTAAGTCTTAAAACTACTATGTATATATTCATAATGTTTAGAAGGTAAGATCCTGACCAGTGTAGATGGAATCGCAATATGAACACTAGTGAGATTATTAGAAGATATGATGATAATAATACCGAAGATTCAGCGTTGCATTGACCTATTAATTGGTGAATGTATACTAGATTTTGGGAGAACCATTTTTCTTATTAAATCTTACATTAAAACCGTTTGCTTCATTCATTCACTACACTTCCAACTTGTAGAAATAATCATTATTTCCAAACTTTTGTCAGTAAAGATGAAGACAAGCACGTATGAATATACGGAAAATAGTGTCCAAAGTTACATTATAAATGAAAATAAATATAATTTAGAAAAAAACATAAAACGTCCGTACTCAAGATTGTGAATGACATTTACCACATCAATGAAGAACAAAAACATAAGAATGTTTGAAGTAAAGTAGGTGAATTTTAGGTCTATAGATCTAAAGACTGGGAATCGTTAAATCATAAAGCTATGCATGCTCGATTATTCGAAAAAATAAATGATGCATTCAAGTCTGGTTTGGCAGAAATTTCACCCAATGCCACGAAAAACTGGGTAGTGAATTAACCATGAATTCACAATCAATAATAGTCAAGCATATGTTTGTGAGGAAAATATAAACGATTTCTGAGAAACCAAGGCTTATTTTCACTAGCTAACACAATGTTCAAATCTATAAAACAAAAACCAAACCAGGCTTTCAAATCACAGTTATATCAATAAAATTGGTAAGAAAAAATTTATTTGTCTCTTGTTCCAGTAATAATTATCTAGGTTCATCTGTTTCGCATTTGAAATCAGTACTCAAAGGATATTTTAATGTGGTGGTTTAACCAGTTAGCATTATGGAAAGCCTATTGGATCCAATTTTATAGAAGACGTAAAGAAGCACCGGAAGTGTTTAGTGAATATTTATTGAGTTAATTTTCAAACCATACCCAGTTCTGCATTCAAACCCCAAGCAAGTATGCAGTGGGATTGATCTACAATATGTATATGGCAAGAAATAAACCAATTCATAAAATTTGTGAAACATAAAATCAGCAGTGAAATTACTATGATCCATGTACGCTTGATAGTATCTACCTATCTGAATGTATATGTATAGTTGACTAGTTCGCAGACAAGATATTACTAGCTGTATAGCAGGTTCGCATTGTAAAATATCTAATCAGATATATCACATATATTGACATGAGGTTTTATTTTCAAAAGACTTTACATTTTCCAGTTCTCCATAGAAAACTTTCACAGTTTAGTGAATATAAAAAAGGTCGGTATGTGAAATTTGTAATATGATTGTTTACTTGATAATAGATTTTCAATTCTCCCATGAAATTTATACTCATACGAACATGAAGCTAGCACAAGCCATTTTTATCTAATTTCAAAGAATTATTTTATTTTTACATTACTGATAGCAGTTCGGTTATTAACCGATTGCTCCACACTTTAGCCATATGATTACATGAGAACAGAGACCAAAGATGATACCATTGGCACCTCAGTAACAAGATAATGAACATAAGGATATTTAAAAACCTATATAATACGCCGATAAGCAAAAAAACATACTTTGTTAGGCTGTAAGCCGGCCCTCCATACTTATGAAGGCAGGTAAAGTAATTGCGAAATTCATCTTCACAATGCCGTTTAATCTGTTTGAAAAAGGTTTGGGCGCAACTGGTAAGAGCCTTTCCCTCTCCAAGACAAGCTCTTGGGTCATGTGTTTCATAATGGCAAAGCATGAATTCCTATACATACAAATATTGTTTTGGGAAATTACCTTGGACTCATTGTCACAAAACTTCCCTAAATGAATGCTTGCGGCCAGCAGTGGACACTTTGATATCTTTAGTTCTGGGACTGTCAATTCCTCAATAGTTGGGAGAGGGACGTCGAGGGAAACCATTTCTTTCCGAATATGGAATCTATGAAACTTGCTGGGTGCAGTTCAAATTATTTGAGCGAATTTCAAGGCCGAAAATTTCTTGTTACGTGGTGGTAAACTGAAAGAAAAGCTTTGCGGGATGAATATCTGGCGGAATGAACCGGATTATATGTTATGATAACAAAATAGATAAACACTGCACTTTAGTTATTTTCTAAACTCTATTGTTTAATATTGTTATGATCATGTTTTTATTTTTTAAGTTGTTGTCATTTCGTTTTATTTAAGACATTCCTTAGAACTTTATTATATAAAGTCGTTTTGGTCAAGAGAAATAGGTAATAACGCTCTTAAATAAGTTTCTGTTCCGTTACGGAGTTGAGGGTCCTAAATGATCAGCTATAAAATTGAGCAACCAGCACTGCTTTACGGTTTGCTTCTCGCAGTTATAAAGTCCCTTACCGAATGAACACATCTCGACAGTCACCTCCAGAATGAGTAAATAAGAACAAACTCTTTAGGCTCAGGACTTGTGAAGTACTGATAAATTTCCTTTTTCAGACGTCTTAAAATGTCAGCTTTCATAGCGTGCATACATAAAGTGCTTTCGAACTTGCAAAAACATAGACCTTTTTACTGTTTATTGACAGCTCTTCATATTTTGTGTCCCTTTGTCAATAACACTATCATTCTTACAGTCTATACAACATTATTATTATTATTTAAACACATAAACATTGCTATAAGAATGCACCAAATATATATGCGCCACATAAATCATCCGATTTGTGTGAGGGCTGAGATACTACTTGGGTGACCAAACCGGGGCAGGTGGTTTTCATAGGTTACGTCCGGAGCATTTGACTTGAAGGTGTAATCCACAAGTCAGTGGAGCAACTTCAAGAGATACAGTCTCATGGTAGCCAGTGACCAACAATAGGTTTATATGCCATTTGTTTCTTCAAAATACACCATTGGTTTGGAATTAGGCTGTCCCAAACCCCCAGGCGGCCCACCAATCTGGTTACAGCGCCGGACATTCGCTTTTCGTCCTCTTAATTTCGTAAACAACAGTAATGCTGCGAGAAAGCAGTGAGTAGAACTTCCCTGGCAGTTGTTTTATGCACGTGGCCATGTGAGAGCATTTAGAGAGGGAGAGCTGACTCTCCCCACTCTCGGCCGTATTAGGGCATTAGGAGGCTATTCAACATAATATTCTATGACATTTGACAACGCAGTAAACGTTTCATCGTTATGCTAGACGGAAAGCTGGCTACGTAATCGAAAACGTAGCATTCGAGGAACAATCTCACATTGTTTCAAAGAGGACTACAACCTTAGACCTTCCTAGTTTATATGATAAATCAACATTTTGCAATCTACAGGTAACAGACGATACCGTAGCTGCTTTTTGTGAACTTTCTGAAGTAAGAGCGGCAACAACTTTTTGGATAGAAATAGCGTTTATTGTTATGTCGCAGTAATTGGTCGCCAATATGGTATTTAAATGAACGGTACGTAGGGTTATCAGAAGGACACGAACGCACAGACCGCTGTTTGTGGCCTCCTTTTGTACGCCAACCGCGTGGTGTAAATTTAGTTATATTACCTAGTGACCAATAAAATAAACAAGTTAGGTGGAGCCTAACAAGAAGATAGCTTGTTATTTATCAGAATCCTGTACCTAAGTAAGGTGATAATGGTTGGGCAGCTAATGACATGAACCTATCGATAAAAGAATGTCAACAGGAGATAAGATTTTACCTGGTATCATCTATTTGAAAATTAATCACAAGAAACAGCTAAGTAGTATTTCAGCATTTGATTTGAGGAGTAAAATGTGTAAACATGGATAAGTTTGGAATACAGTTAATAAGATATAGAAAGGCATGAAGTCCTTGAGTAGCTAAAGAAAATATCCAGTGTGATATAATAGGAAGACCGGCACAGAGTCAGTAGTCTGTAATTGTATTCCTACTAAAACTTAACATTACATTTTTAGGTCTCGGAATGACTAGTATTAATCTGAACTAACTTCTTTGTATGACAAACAAAAGCAACCACCTTACATAGGGTGTGATAGGTAACTATGAATGAGCAAACACCGTAATTCGTAACTACTGAAAGATTCTGAATATTTGTTTTTACACTACGTAGCTAGAGACAATATGTGCTAACAGGTAGCATGGTGACAACTTTTTCTACTTCAAACTCCGAATACATTTATTTGGTGTGCACTACTTATTTGTGAAATAATACTTGATACTAAGCATCAAGAAACGCCTTACAGTGTGTGAAGAATCATTGAGCGACCAAATAGTTAAACAATGATAGTGATATTACTATTAATGGACGCAGAAAATACAGCTAAGTTGAACATTTTCATTCCGAATAGACATCCAATTATGTGGTGTTACGACTGTATGTTAGAATTATTAACAGATGACAATGAACAAACACAATGTCATCAAACATCTTAAGACTGAACAAGCTAGGTTTTATTAGGTCAAGGCAGAAGTGCACGTGAACTAGTACCTTACTTTTGGGTGAGACTATAATTGATGGACGAACCAATCAGGTAAAAGATAACTAGTCTTAGATTTTGGCGCGATTTGGCAAAACACAGCTTGGGCATTATGGTTGATGTCAGTTGGTGATGAAAACCTTGAATCCAATTTTTAACCTTAACCACCAACTGTAAATCATAATCCTAATTCCTAACACAGGTTTATGATATGCGTTCGGGCCTAGTTATTAGATAGACACTCTCAAGGTCACTTTGGCGTCGCTCAAAAGTAATCCATAAGTTATCGTCTCACCTATTTAGGGCAACGACTCAACGTTGTTGATTTCAAGGTTTTTATTTGCAATTTTCCCAGAACTTCCATAAAAATTGACGGGACTTTCCCAACCGATTCTTCGCATATGTGAACAATTTTGAGTCTAACACATTCTGTTTTCCCTACGGTTAGGCTGGGACAACTCGGCGGAGGTACCAGGTGAATTTAAAAGCTTGGAACAAAAAAGAATCCTCCGGAATACATGTTTTCGCTCAAGTAATTAACTATATGAACATCCTACGGAGAACAGCATCCGTAATTTAAGCCTTCCCGCTTATGGGGATATTCTACATGTACAGAAACTTACTAGATAATGACTGACTCCAGCCCCCACCCTTCTAACCTCAAACTAGATTTGATCCAGACACCTGGACTGACCTAGTAGTTAAAACTCCTGGTATTTGGTAACGACCTTTATCCAATATCCAATGCCTTTGTCGCTTACTAGTATAAATCGATCGACTTCTTTGTCCTCCTTTCGCGTTGTTTAAGCCCGTTTCAAGGATGATATAAACTGGTCTATGATAAGATTGAACTTTCCCATTTTCTTCTTTGAATATTGAAGATAGAGTATACTGATTCCACACTCCAAGAAGTTGCTGAGATTCGGGTGAGTGCATGAATGGGTGGACCATTAGTACGTCCATTTTCTTCACGCACTATCTCAAGGCCTTGGGGTAGATGTCACAACCTAGTGAATTTCCTAGTCGTAAGAGTTTCGGTTTCCCCATGAGTTAAACATGTTCTAAACCTTCAACAGGTACCGATGTAGCAGTATACCACTTACTTGTAGGTAACTGGTTTAATTTTGTGGGACAATAGTAACCAAGGTTTCACCCCATCATTTTAAATTGGTAGGATCTTCTTCGTCATGGATTCCTTGGTTTATAGGTTTCCTCTGGGCAACGAATTAATGGTGTCTTTTCGAATCAGCTTGTATTTCGTTGGCTAGCTAGATGTGAAATCACCTTCTGCCGCTCCCAACTTACGTTTTTGATGCCAGGTAACATTTTGTGATCAAAATCGTCCAGTATAACTTTCTATCTACTCAAGGATCTTATTGTTGTCTGTAGTAAACATTCTGTCCCTTGCGTCAGCCAGTATGTTCTAGAAGAATTATGGTCCCATTCGGCATTAGTACATTTATATTTGTTATTATAACAATAGACTTAATCCCAAAATTGTAGATTTGTCATGATGTGGCTACCTGGTTCATAAGATCTTAAGTGGAAGTCATTATTGTCTATGCTGACTCATCCTATCGTGAATACCAGCGATATGGTGTTTAAATCTCCTAAAGAACGCAGTTCGGATGAGGAAAGAATAATATATTTGATGTGGAAAGACACGAGTTACACAAAATGGCCACGCCTCCTGCTACGTTCAGTGTTCTGATCTCTTCCGTTATTGAAGCATGGTATGTTGATCTACTCGTAACTTACGAACCCAAGTATAACAATAGAACCAAACTTCATTTTAGACATAAAAGTATTAGTTTTTAATCAGCTAAACGTCTTCACTTCTGTAACACCTCCAAGGCTTAGTTATTTCATACCGATTAACTCTTCCTGCGTTCACCATTTTCGACCCCCTCTAAGTTCTACATACTGAATGTCAATCTTCTTGGTAATTCTTTCCTTGGTTTCAAGAATCGTTTGATGAGCAAAAAATAACACTACATTCTCCTTCCAGTTGGAATTTTTGTTTGAGAGATTATATCCAAAATATCTTCCTGAATTTTATTTTTTTAACATGTCGTGTTGGTCTTCTGCCATTGCTCTCGCATGCCCACTCATAGTCTTGTGATTAACATATTATGACTGCGTAGTGGCACTGGGCCTTAACCACAAAATCCTCAAAGCTCAACACGAAACGCTTGGGAAAATAGATGTCCAACATCTAACGCGGAGAAAAATCCAATTATGGAGAAGGCGGGAACAATAAAGGGAATGAATTCGAATTGATCGGATGGCATGGTGCCTTTTATTCATATTAAATATATTATTCTATCTCTAGCCTAAGGGTGTTCTTCATCATATATTGATGACTCACGATGTGATGAGTTGGTCTGTGTAATGATTTGGCTTCCACATAAGATCTTATAGATTAGGCAGTTGCATCATGACAAATCTACGATTTTAGAATTAGGTCTATTATTAGAGGAGTACTAGTATCGAAGTAGACCATAATTCTTCAACTGTACCGAGGTTGTTATTTCTCTTGGTGCTCGCAATGAAACACCTGTGGTTTGACGCTGGTCATCTGAAGGTGCGTAGTCCAGCCTTCATGGTTATTCGTCATGTCTTCGTCTCGTGGTGTCAATATCTCGTTTATTCATTGATAAACTTGTGTGGTTATGACGGGTTTTTTATGAAACCATTATTCAAGTATCAGACCCATATTGCCGACGTTCTGGAATAGGGTTTTGAAATCGGTGATTGGCAGTATGTGACAAGTTCACATGTGTTTAAATAATAATATCACCTAGAGTATACTTCTTTTTCATGCTTTATTTCCTTTGGGAGGAAAATTTATTCCTTTCGTCCGGTATCTTGTTTGGTTCATGTTGGAGAGACCCCAAGAAGACTCCGATAAAACTAGATGGTTCAAAATTAGGTGGTTTTCTAACTTTGACTTACCAGATGCCTCATGTCGCTGCTCTGATTTCTGTTCCGTGTTCTGACGCGTCTGAATGGTGTCATGCCTTGCACGTTCAGTTTATCTACTGTGACATCAGTAGAGAATCAGGTTTTATTACGAACCATGATCTTCAGTTCGAAATGTAAACACATTTGTGATCACCCTTAACTTTCCTCTAAGTCCATCTATTATGCTATAATGTTGCTAACATGATTGTGGCATTATAATGTATCATTTTGTGGTGGCATCCCTTTGCGCTGTTTCAAACACCTTGTAGTTTGTCGTATGATGTTCAATTCTCTTGGAATTTCAAAAGAACTAAAATGTAGAAATATCAATATGAGAGTTTATACTAGACGAGGAAAATGAATCAGTCCTTCTGTTATAATTCCCTTGCACTGCAAGCCAAAGGCAACCTTTCTGCTGATGATTTCAACCAGACACCTTGTGGTGAGGAGCATGTAGATTCGTCGACGTTGTTATGTTCTTATGTGTAAATTTGGTGTGAGACCAAGCAAGGACATACTCATAGAACAATTCTAAATTCTCTTCTGGCTTGTCACTGAGAAACGACGATGTGCCAGGAATTGCCAGCTCCTGACCTGAAAGCTGAGAACTCAGTCATGCTTTTTTTCGCTAGCCAGATGGCTCTTATCATAATTACTTTACTTTATTATTAAATGTGCACTGTACAAGCATTCGACGATTTCTATTTGTAAAGCACATATATCCGTGATATTATTCTGTGAAACAAATTAAGAATGAATGGTACCATGTGTTGGAGTAGTAGTAAAATCAAATCATCGATGTAGTAGGATTTTATGATAGCGTAGGAGTGTGTAAAAACGTAGGTTGATTATTTAAGATTTGACCTCAAGTATGTCAAGAAAATGGAGCTTAAGTATTCATTCACTTCCTTATTTTTTATGGGCCCTATATTTCTATTATCTTATTGTTAGGATATTCGGAAAAATATACCAATAATTATCATGTTAAGTCTAATGGTGTCCTTGGACTTTAAATGGACATTCCCTATTAGTCAGTATTTGTTTCATTTGTTAAATATTGTACAGATGTTGTTTCTATTTTATGGTACAATGTGTTTGTTTGGTTGGTATATAAACAGAGTATGCCTGAAATATAATGATTTATATCTCAGAGGCTGAGACTTGTGTTCTGGACTCAACTGGCTGGGCTAGACAGCGAAGCAGGGCCAATCGGGACTCTAGGTCGTTCGTGCGTGTTTTACGTGTCATTGATCCGATCGATGAATTCGCTTCGCTGTGCATCTAATCTGCAATCCACACGTTATAACACTTATATTGAAGGTTGAAAAGCTTTGTGTGTTTGAAAATTTTACCTTCCGTTCCACTGTGACGGTTCTTCAAGCACATTAATTTTTCTTTAACTCATTATATCTTCTGTTGCCGCAAACTGAAAAGTTATATTCAGGAATGGGTATGATACATTTTTTAGGTAATGATAATCTGCTTTGATGTTAGTGAAACTTATCACTATGAGCTTAATGAGCATTGTCGCATTGGAAACTTCAGGTGCAATGTGCTCGAAAAAGTTGCTATATCTCAGCCCCAGTTCACGAACAATGTTGAGGGCTTTCGAAAAGTGTTTATGTGGAACCATATTTAGGGTGGAGCTGGAGTTAATGTAAATAAACTCACATTCATCGACATTTAGCAACCAGTTTTTACGTCACATGCCATTTGTATGGCTGCTTATGTTTTCCTAAGTTACCGCCAAAATATAGCTATCTTTGACAGAGAGCGTTAATGAATGAACCCCTTTTAGGTGATTGGCAAAAGCGAAAGGTCAATCACAGTGAAAAGGAGAGGATATACAGGGGCAACCATATTTAACCCCACTGATTATATCCACAATTTCAGAATGACATGACTCATTGCGAACGGTTTGGCAACGTTCTGTTCAAAAATACTTGGACTGAGATAAAATAAGAGATCTTGTATGTCATAAGAAAGTTTAAGAAGAAGTAGGCTGTATGAAACAACGTTGAAAGGCTTACCAAAGTTGAAGTTTAGATTTATCACTGACTGATCAACATCTCTTTGCGGGATAATTAAGTGAAAATATTTCAAGTGTGACTTGAAGCATCAGCGTGTGGTCATAAACTCGTGTTTGGAAGAAGTTCGCCGAAAGCGAAAATGATAGTTACTATTCGTGGATGGTTTTCCACATGACCCTTGATGGTTAACAGTCTACTCAAGGAACGACATGACCTCCCAGCTTACGCCGAAGTACTCCTCGGGTTCAATAGCCAACATGGTTTACCATTTCGCCGTATCCAGGTACGCATAGGAAACGGAGTGCGATCATTACTGCATGCGCTTATCGATAAGATGTAACTGAATCATGCACGCTTGTTGTTTATAATGTTGATGGGAAAGCGTGTAGTGTTGTCAAGCCAAAACTACACAATTTTAGAGCTGAACACCAGATAACTGTGGAAATATATATTCATCACCTAACACGAGGAATTAACCAACAGTGGCGAAGGTGGGAATAATTTATTCAAATCAGTCGGATAGCGTAGCTCAATCTTGCAAGTGTGGTCATTTTTGTGCAGCTTATCTCTCTTGTTCATTTGAAATATATTGTTCTTTCTTTAGCCTATCCCTGATTGTAGCGCCTCTGGAGCTATTGTTGGCCTTAATCCCGGATAAAGGAAGAGGATTGGGAGTGAGGTTAGTGACCCCACCCCGTAGAAAATAACTCGCTAAAAAAACAATAACCAGAAAAAAGTAATTCAAACCATTTAAACTCTGCCCTGGGGGTAAGGAGGTCTTTATTTAGAAAAGTTATGACGCCTTATAGTAAAATCCGAGTTCCTTCGGAAGTCACGAGACTGATGTTCCTTCCGACAACCAGAACAACCGTCAATTTAGGTAAATGAAATGCTCGTACAATGTGGTAGAGTCATCTAAACTGCTTCAGGAATGAAAAGATT